AGGGGTGGACCCTGTGCCCATGAGCCTTCCTGAGCTGGCTGTATGCACCGGGCAGCTGATCCGAGGGTTATGGTGGATCGGGGTTGGTTTGTTTGGGGGTTTGGGGTTGGGTTTTTTTTTTTGGGGGGGGTGGCGGGTGGCATTATCACCATTAACCTTGCAAAGAGACCAAACCGCACCGCCAAGCCGGGGTCCCAGAGCTCCCCACAGGCTGGGCCGCCCCATTAATCCACAGCCCATCTTTGCGAGAGGAGCACATCGCCGGCAGATTACAATCTTTCTCGATGTAATCATGCTTTAGCATCTTACTTCAAAATTTTAACGGGTAAAAATTCCCCATCTCAGTGCAAGATTGCATCATGAATTCCCTCTGCCTCGTACAGCAGGGATGGAAAAATGCTACTTTTCATCCTTGCACAATGCTTGATGTAAGTTTCTGAAAATGAGCGCTCTAGTAAGCCTAAAAATGTAGGATAATACGATTCATTTATAGATCTCTGATAATAGATGTGGTTTCTGTTACTCCGTTACCACATCAAGGGTTACTCCTGCTCCTTCAGGAAGGACACGGCACCCTCCTCCTCACGAGCCATTACCATAAAGCGGGATAAACAACAAATACCGCCTTATCATTAGCTGCATGGAGCAGTTCCCACTGATTTATGACGCCAAACACCACAAGGCTGGATCAAGCTGCAAGTCCCTTTTTTGCAAATATTATTTTTGCGAGACCGGCGTAAAATACAGGGAGCTGCCTCACCTGGGTTTGGTTTTGTTTACAAAAAATGTTTTACAACTTGCAGGAATTCTTCCCAATATTAGTTATTAACAGCCCCGAGATGGCATTTGCATTTTTATAGCCTTGTTACTTAAAAGTGAGAAAGTAGAAGGAAAGACTTAGCGATAGCGTTCCCTGCGTGCTTTAATCCCAGCCTGAGCTTTTTATGCTTGAGAGCACCTTCTGATGCCGTAACTAACCTCAAACCTGGAGCAGCAGGAGGGCAACAAACCTCCGAATACAGCAATGTCATGCTTTACAGGCATACTCTCCGCAACAGCATGAATGAAGAAAAAAACCCCCGTTGCCTAGGAAACGCTCTAGTCTTGGTAATTATTACTGTAACTGTCTGCACACCCCACCTATAACAGAAATGAATAATAAATTATCACCGCTGACTGGCAGCTTTCCGCTCCGGCTCCTGCTCGCCGCTGCTGCCTACCGGCGCGCGC